TTTTTAGTTTAATTTTTATAATTATACATGCTTAACATTAGATTAAGTAAAACGTTATCTGCTGCTTTTAAATATGTAAAAGTACTTAAAACTAAATTAAACCACTAACTAGAGCAGCTGGTAAGAATTCAGTTATGCTGCTTTGTTGAGACCAGGGTCTCCCACATATTGTACAACTATAATTGGTTCACGTAGTAGTTTTGTACCTTGTATATACGTACATCTGCATTAGTCAAAAGCATGTAAGAGTTAACAGAAACTTTAAAATATCTGGGCACAATGACTCATTCCAGACGTTCTCTGGTTTAGCAAGTGAAGATAAGTGACATTCATGCCCCACTTCTCACATGCTGCTCTTGTTGATGGGATTCTCACATGGAGACTCTTGTTCAGCACCCTTTAAAATCTTCCATTAGTATGAAGGTTTAATTTCTCTACCTTCAGTAGAACAACAGAACAATCAGCTATTTTAATTCTTGCTGAGAGCACTTTCAGTGTTTTTCCATTAGCTGAGCAAGTAATCTTCACTTTTGCTACCTACGATGCCACAAAAGCAAGTTGTGTCCATGAACTGCATGCTTGGAGATAGCAGCAGGAACCTTCTGCAATTCATCTTTCTTCTCTACCTCCCCCACATCTAAACCCTTAGGAAAATCAGTAAGGGACACAAACTTTATGTTGACAGTACACTGCAAGGAACTGTAACCATTGGTTGAAACAACTGAGAAGTCGTTTTAGCGAATTTCAGTAAATGGTAAAAGCATTACTGAAACTACTACAACAGCCCTTTAGGAACAGGGCTTCAGACTGCTCACATGGAATTAAAAAGTGAGCTCCAGGCTGTCTCTGTTCCCTCCAATAGGTTTTCCAGAAGCAGGGAGGCCCTCAAGCTCAACTCATCCCAATCCTAAGGTGTGCTGACAGCTTCAAGGAACTGGGGCACTGCTACAATGGCAGTCTTAAATGCACTCCAGTGTTACAGATGTGACCAGACTGAATATTAAACAACAACGTGGGAGATAATTTGGTTCAAATTCACAGAATATTCTGACAAGTATTTGGGTCAAGACAGCAGTAGCCATCCTTGATCCCTCTGAATTTCAACATGTGACATTGCTGATCCAGTATATAGCAGGCTTCTTTGTATCTTAAATAGTGGATCATATCAGTGGGGTATGGCCTGGGATTCTGACACTGCCTGCTAATATGGACAGACAGGTTAGAATTTCTTGTTTTCTTCATCACATAGCATTTCACTGCTAAGAAGTAGTTCACCTGCATGGTTCATTTCATTCACCCATGCAGATACCATGAAACTTATTAGCATTCCTATACTGCAGCTGTCTTAACTGCTTGGCAAACAGCTCTCAGTTCCAGCATGTCATAAATGAAGTTCCACCTCCTGAAGTAGGCAGAGAATGCATCGAATACTGATATGAACCAGCCTCAATTAGACAGTCAAAGGCTGACCAAAGCTTTGCCCCTCAATTCTCATTTGCAGTTTAGCTTGTATAAATGCATTTCAATTCCTATGCTCCCCTAAACTTCTCATCAATTAAAGATATTCACCAAGTATCTAGTACTCATAACAGTTCATTCAATCACAAAAGATTACTATTTTAACACAGCAATTAAACCAACGTAATTCTGAAATGCATGCCAAATCTCTTCCTTCACAGAAATCTGGTAACAATACCTGTTCTGAATTGTGGAAAGAACAAGAAAATTTGCTTTTCAAGAACTCGGTAGGAAACCTGAAAATTAGTAAGAACTGGACTGAAACTACAGCATTGTCTCCCCAGCATCCACAAACACAAGGTAATCTTGCTCCAGGCAACTTAAACTGAAGTATTGCTGCAAAGGAGTTGTAAGATCAAACACCACATTTCTCAATCTCATTTACACTAAAACCTCTTGGAACAAGACTGATGCTATGTTTTTGCCGGCAGCTCTAAGTATGCCTCAAAGCTGAGAAGCTGCTCTCAGATAAATGAGAGGCACCAACTGTATCTCCAATAGTTCCAACCCTAGAGTTCCCACCTACTAAGAATGTAGTTTAAATTCAGGATCCTTCCTAGGCATCGCTTTATGCTATACAGAACACATCACACCTTCTAACAAGGTCTGCAATTAAGTCTTGCTCCATTCCATTCCTTGGCAAGGAGTCTTTTGACAATAAGTAGCAGCAATGTGAGCTTCTAGCATGTAAAATACCATTTAAGGATGTGAGCAATTTGCACATCCATCATTAAGGTCCCGAGGCCTGTATGCCTGCAGCAGCCTCTTAATTGGGAGAAGCATGTAATCCTTACGCAACTTTAATAAGGAATGCTAAACACGTGAACTCAGATCTGCAAGACAGATAAACACTTCAAGTAGCCCTCCCACTAACTGATCAAGTACCAGTTATATCTTTCCACTCCTGGAACAAAGGGTCAGGCAACAGCTAAGTAAAGGACTTTGTTTTGAAGCACTTAAGTTGTTACCTATAGAGCAGACAGGCTTGTTTTCTGCATCAACCAGCCTTCAGCTGAAGACAGCAAGGTGTGGCATCAGCCCAATCTAGTTTCTTTGGTATCCCCCAAGCACTTCAGGTGCCTTCACAATGAAGAGCAGAGATTGCTTTGAGGTTTGGTCAGCTCAGAAGGATTAAAAGCAGTGGTTCCAGCAGCCAAGGCTACCGTGCTGAAGCAGGGTACTTTATAGATTTAACCGTTCCACTACCTAACGTCTTAAGAGCAAGCCACCTGCTGCCATGGGAAGTGCTGGTTGTTCAGATCCAAAAGGGAGGCAAATCAACCTTCATTCAAAGGCACCAACCTGAGCCATAGACTATTCAATAAGAAGGAAGCCAAAGGATCAGTGTTGGGCTTCAAGTTAGCTTGACTCATTTTTGTTCCACTGAACGGTCCCTACCTCAGGGAGGGTAACTTGTCAGCAATCACTAACTGAAATGAGGAACAGACATGAAGCATGGCCTAGTGAATTCACCAAGACAGAAGTCTATGTTCTGGCAGTCATCTTTTAAGTCATACTCGTCAGGTGGGATTCCCTTGTTTTGGGGCAATTTGCTTTTAAACTAAACTGTGTAGAATAGTCAGTAGAAAAGATCAAGACTTAGAAACATTAAATCACATTCTTGCAGCCTCAGAAGTACAGTATCACCTCTGTAGGCCTGAGTGTGGACATTCGCCTTCTCTTTCATTTCTGCTTTGTAATGCACTTGAAGTCAAGCACAAAATTGACTGATGCTGGATAGAGTTGAACTGCAGTAAGTGCAAGAACTAGGGCTTGAGAATCCACCTTGTGACTGGGGACATAGAAGGATAGTTTGACAAAAAAAAACTGTATAGAGGAAAGTAGCTAAGACCTATAATTATGAGTGACATCATAAGTGACCAATGCCAAAAACATCCCGTTATATGTAACATGTTATTAACATACCATGCACAAGTAAAAAACTGTCAGACATGGTCACACACACTATCTCCAGCACGCAAAGAATGATGACATAAAAAAGCATCCTCAAAAGATATGGACATTATTCAGCTCATACCAGTATTTTCAGTAGTTGTGTATTAGCAGAATGCAAGTATGAGCACTGGCAACTAAACTATTATTCAAAAAAGGTACAGGCTCTGGCTCAAGTAAGTCTTACCGGGCAGCAGACTAGATGGTCAAATTTAGGAGAAGAGATCCCTAAATTAGATATCCCTAAATTTAGATCCCTAAATCCCTAAACTCTGCTAACCCTCAGCAAGTACAGATGTAGATAAACTAACACTCAGGAAATATTCCCCTTAGTATCTTTTTGCTGCCAGATTCTTGTTTAAGCATCATCCTTGTACTGATTATACAATTGTGTCCGCATCAATGTGGGAAAAGGTGCATAACTTCTTTCAGCCATGCTAGAGGTACAAATATGTCATCAAGACGAGAGAAAAAAGCATGCACTGCATACCAAAGACAAGTCCTGGGGCTGGTGCCAGAGCTGCCTGAAGGTTTTTAGGCCTTGTCCTCCACTATTGATGTACACAGCTGGGGAACACATCTCTCCAGCATACCCAAGCCGTCAACACAAATATGTACATATGTACAGTAGTGGCTGAAGCCATGAGCAATCTGTGTCAACTAAAGCTTTTGTCTTCCCACTGTTGCTGCTCAGGGAACAGAGTCACAAAAAAGTTTATTTAATGTGAGAAAAATATCTGTGTTCTGCCACTACCTTTTGGTAATGGGAAAGTATTGGCTTCCATCCCTTAAACCAAAGCATAGAGAACATGCAGCCTTGAAGAGGTGTAGTTTTAAGCACACAGAAGCTAACCAGCACACTGAGGAGTTGCAATCAAGAACATAAAATATGTTCTTGAAAGCTTGATATTTGAGGATTCTGCAACAAAAAAAGCCTAGGAAATAAAGTACCAAAGTCAGCATTTCTGAACAAAACTAATGAAATGGACGTAAGTGGTACATCAATTGTTTTCAATTTGAGAGCGCTTAGAGTTTAAAAACGGAAACGAGGCAAACTGAACTTTGTCAACTATACTTTCATTCTTGTTTTAAAGTGCAGGCATCAATCTGGTAGTTCTTTCAAAGTTCAACAACTGCTCTAAATACATGTTATCTGTGCACCAGCAGTTGCTACAATAACATACTAACAGAATACATCACACTGCAGTTCATACACACTCTCTCAAAACAGCACATACTGATTCAAGTGTGCATGCTAAAGAAACTGCTCAAGTGCTGCAATGCTAAAGCAGCTTTACCTACAAGGCTGAATAAATGAAGTCCACCATTTTCCAAAGGTACAAGGTTTACTTGCATCCCTGAAAAAGGAAGTTTTGCATCAACTTGGACTAATGAAGTTATGACTCCAATGGAGCTGAACTCAAGTAAACATTATATATTGGATCTTCTTTCCAAAGACTCTACAGCTCTGAAGATTTCAATGCCCTGTTCACATTTACAGTACTCACACAAACCTGGATGAAATGCAAATACAGACACTTCATTTTGGTGTGTAGAATCTAGGTAATAATGAACCTAAGTTCCTTCTGACTAGCAACATCAGCATTGGTTTCTTCTGCCTTTATTCCATGATTTAAGAGAACTGCAAAACACCATCTGACAGGTCACTGCTTGGAAAATGAAACGATGCACAAAAACCCCAAACCGACATACCTGTTATTTTGTCCCTGACAAGCTTGCAGGATTCTATCTCACCAATGCTGCCAAACAGACTCTTCAGCTCCTCTTGTGTCATGTTCTGTGGAAGGTAGTTGACTATTAAATTGGTCTTGCTGTCTTCTGTGTTCCCAGAGTCAACTGGTGATGAGCAATTGTTTATGGTGGCTGAGCCATGGGCTGTGTTATTGCAAGTTGGTCCATTAGACAGTTGGGTTTCCATGGCAGCAATTACCTGCTGAAAGACACAGAAAACAAGAACCGTCAAAATTCATATTTCACCATTTACTAGGAAAGTGAGGACAAGAATCTGAAAGACCTGTCACTATACCCAAGTGGTATTGCCAGGGCCATATACTACCTCTATATGCAAAAAAACCCCACCAATACAGAAGGATTTTAACTGTTCATCAAGGCAATACTTGAAAATTTACAGGCAAATAAAGTGGTCACTAAAATCTTCTAGGAGCTCTCTTAATGAAGTCAACACTCAAAGCTTACTTTCTGTCCTCCCCCATTCCCTTCATTGAAGGGCATCACAGCCTTTCTAGTATAGAAGGTACCAAGCAGAATTGACCTGTTGCAAGGGTTATCAGTTCTATTAACTTACAACTGATAACTGAAATTATCTGAAACATAGATTTTAAAGTGATAGTATTCAGTTATTTTCAAAAGAGGTGAGTGTTAACTGTGTCCTCAGCCTACTTCTCATAAGCGATCGCAGAGAGCAGATTAGCAATTTAAAGAGATACTTAGAGATATATGAATGTGCTGGGATGAAAAACAAACTCTTCCTTGATAACCTCTAGGTCAACCTTCTGTCACCACAGGTTTGAAATAGGTTCCTAAATGCTTTTATTTGATTAAACTGACAATTCCCAGTTCTCACTTCTTCCATCCCCTGTACTCTGAAAATAGTTAAAGTTGATACTTTAATTTTGTTTACTTTTAGACATCAAAATCAGGGAGCAATCACCACTCCAGGAACTATTGTGCTCCACCTCAAAGTAACTGACTGTATGACTGGCAGATAGGTCAGCAATTGTTTTGAGAAGTGTCAGTACTTGCCCACAAACTACCACATGTACAAAAGGCATCTGCCATCTCAGTCAGTCATTGAATGGTAATAGCTGGTAAATACAGTGGATTTTTAATGGCAGCCTACCCTGTTTGAGACCAACTATATAGGACAATGTCCAATAGAAAATTCTGTAAGTTAATTCTCCAGTAATAAAAACATTTCAACACAGAAGAAACTCATCCAGAAGTTTCACTAAAAAAATTCAGCAATCACTAAAATGCAACCTCATACTTAAATTCTAGGAGTTCTCCCACAAAAAAGCCTATTGTAAAAATCACAGTATAATGTCAGGACTTCTGGCGGTCATCTGTCCTAACTGTCCTGTTCAAAGGAGCATATGCAATCAATGCATACCCAAACAGTTGATTAGGTCAACTGTACTCAGGGACTGCAGATCTGCATTTCCTAAAAACATGAGACAGGGTAAGTTGAGTGTCTTAAACTACAGACATTCCTGGGCACACATTTCTATGTTCAACCTACAGAAGTATCTTCCAAGAGGTTACTTCAGCACAACACAAAAAAGGAAAGATGGATCAATTAAGAACATTTTTGTATTAAATGTGATCTAGGTTTCCTGAGGAGTTACAACTGGAACTGCATTTTCTTTCCTTGTGACAAACTCCAAGGGGTAACCTGCTCCTGGCACTGATGAAACTCTGATGAAAAGCTGAGAAAGCAGATGATCCCAATTAAAAATTACTCTTCAAAAAAACCTAGTATATCATTTTGCAGAACTAGTAGCCACAAATGCTGTGCTCTAAGGCTCTCTAGGTTTCTTTTTTTTCTCCTCTTTTTCTCAAATTTAAAGTGTTCATTGATCAAAATTAGCAGGATTTAGAAAGGACAACAAACAATCCTCACTTAACTGCACATTTATTTCCATGTTCAGGTGACAAGAATGAAATCCTAAGCCAACATTCAAGTGAACAGCTGCAGTAGCCTGTGTGTGCTGAAATTACAGCATTTCTCAGCTATAGAACCATCTGCTCTGAATAAAGTGATACTAATATGTTTTACAAATAACGCATATTCCGTTGATAGGTTGAATGTTAACTGTTCATGAAACACAAAGCACTTCAGCAGTTAAACTATTTTTCTGGATGGAAAATATTTAAAGAGATAAGTTTACAGTTTTCAAACAATTTCTTAGAATAAGTCTTACAAATATACTTTTAAAATAGTAATCAGAAACACACAGTATACAGGCTTTTAAAGTTACTGCAATTTAGTATTCAGACCATACCAAAACCATTTTAGTACAATACTACTCTTCAATTATCCACCAGGTATTTTGAATTAGTGCTAAAATCTAATTAACATTAGAAGAAAGGCAAGCCACTGCAGTATAATTTCTACAGGAGATCACCACGTTATAGAAAAAGTTGTCATGGTCTGCCAGTGCACTCTAGGCTCTCACAGAATAGGGGCACAACCTACAGCCTATAACAGAACATAGAAGAGAGTTAGCATTCCAAATGGGAGATTGAAGAGTTTGGTATGGCCTCAGCACTATTAACATGTAAAAAAGTAGCCTACAGAATTTAAGAAAAGTCCCACAGACCCCAGTCCAAGGCTCTGCTGCCCACGAACCACTTCTAAGCAGAGAAGCCACATCACACAGTCTGACTGCCATGTTAGTTTGGAGTTGCCGTCTGCAATATGGACACAAAAAGTACCGTATGTTAGATTAGCAAGATAATGAAACAAATCAGTTTGTACAAATTTACAGTAATTGCATTTATATTCCCAGCACGTCCATACAGTGTGGCTTAATTGGATTTGAGGCAATTCCAATCTAATCTTTCCAAATTCACTTCTAAAGTTATTTTTTCTTACATGAAATAAGATGGTTATTTTTAAGAAGATTTAAAAGATAATGCCGTCTAGTTACCCCTGCATCTTCCCTGGAAACTACCTCCAGAACCACACCATGCCTAAAAGAAGCTATACCATAAGACACATTTTTAAATCTTCAAGACTGAAGGAAGAGGGAAGAAAGAAAACACAGTGAGTTTATTTTCCATTAGCACGTAAGATTACCATGCACCACTGAAAAACAGCTCCCCTCACATGCCTTTCCCAGCCCACAAAGAAATACACGAAAGACAACGAACTACTTTACGACAATCCAGTCTGTTCTTAAAATCCGAGTTCTAAAAATTGATTAAATTAAAATCTTGCACAAATGGTATTCAGTAAGTTTCCTTCCAACAGTTGTTTTAAGAGTACCACAGGACATAGAAGTGGCAGTAGAGTTAAGGATTTCTCAAGTGGACTAACGAACAAAATACGCAAGAGGGTTCTTCGTAAGGGTACGGTTGTCCACAAGCACATCCTTGTTGTTTTTAAATAAAACATGATTGCAAACCCATTTGGATTTGAATTGAACAGTACTAGGAGGATACCACGAAAGCTAATGAGCCATTTGCAGATAATTACAAGTAGTCCAGATGTTAAATATAACCACAATACTGGCAGAAACAGAAAGACTCCTGACTGTTGCCACAGCTTGAGATTGGTGCAAACACAAGAGATCCTTCTTGTCCCTGGCTGGAAGATAAGGAAGTCTAAACTGAACCTCAAGGATTCAGATTAAAACAAGGACTCAGATTTTCAGAAGACTGCTACATCCAGGGTTTATAAACACATAGTTCAAAACAACTTCTCCTGTTTTATATCAGTGTAAATTAGTCTTCATTTCGGTTTGCTACCAAAGTTTTCTACCATGGTTTTCTACTATGGTCAGCTGACTTCATGTCTGGTCCTTATTTCTAACTTAGGTTGATAAAGACACTTAATCATCTCTTTTTACGCAAAATACTGAGGCTTTGATATCAGCTGCAAGCTTGCAGCTATTCTCTCTGGTCTCAACCGAAAACCCATGCTAACTGCCGTTCTGAAGCTCTCCATTGTACACAGCCAAGCATGTTTGATGAACTGCTTATGTGACGAAAAACTGAAAGTGTGAACTGACTTTTAAGTCCAGACAAGCTTTATTAAGGAGATTGCATTAAAGTAGCAGTCTACAAAACTCTGTCCTACAGAGCCTGTAACAATGTGCATAAGGTGTTCTGTTTGGATCTCAGAACAAAAGCAGCATGACCTGATAAGATTATTTGCTTCCTGTGTGCCATGGGCTGCAGATAAACTCCAACAGGACAGCTTACTTGTGTGCACTTGCTACAGAGACTTCACTGAGCCCTTGAGCATCACAGCATTTCTCAAAAAAGCAGAGCACCTCTTAAGTACTTCCAGTTTGAGTAACACATCTTTCTCAATTGAAGTGTTCCACAAGGTACTCACATCAATGTACAAGTCAGTTCTCTAAATACCACACCATTATGTCTCAAAATCAAGTTTTACTCTACCAGTTTTTATTACTGTCAAAGATGTACAGAATGCTCTTTTACATCTCGTTTAGAAAGTAGAATTCTTACCCTCTCATTTCCACTTCTACCTGACCTGAAAAAGGTCTATAGCTAATTATACCAAAGTAGAAAAAAAAAAGTAATTTTTAAAAAAAAAAAAATCAGTTTCCAGCCTAAACACTGTACTTTAATCTTAAAACAGCACATTAACATAGAATTCAAGCTGTGAATAGTCTCAAATAATTTTAGAATACTGAACTATTTAAGAATCATGAGTAACATTAAAAAAGGTGATACAGTTTTTGACTATGAACCTCAGAGACAGTATTACACTTTGGATTATTAAAATAGTTCAGCAATTACTGCATTCAAAGCCAAGTAAATCAGTAAGTTCAGGAAACAGGGTTCTACGTCTATTAAAGAAATTAAGTTTGTCTCAAAATGCATTCAGATGAAGAGAACAATTAAGTCAAGTTGAAAAAGGAGATCTGCTTTCTTTACAGTCCTGAAAGGACGCAGAACTGAAGACAAAGTTCATCAGTTCAAACTAAGGGGTTCCCTTTGTTAATATACAGTGCATGGGAGCCATATACCTTTCAATGAACTTCAATTCACCAAGCACAGTTAAGATTGTAAATTTCAACACTCCTAAACACCAATTGTGACATTAACTGAATCCCAGTTTCTAATTACCTGCAGTTCAAGTCAGTCATGAGTAAGGTTTGTCTAGCAGAGGAGCAACTAGGCTTTTTAAAAATAAAGACCAAAGACATAACGAGTTAAAAAGCCATAAGGTTTATGCAGTTAGTCCTAGTTGCCATAGAATAGTTTCAATAACATCAACAGTAGATTTGAGACCTTTAGAATATAAAGTGGAGCTAGCAAGATGAAGACCAGAAAAACAACAGACACAGTGGTCTACTAATTTTCCCTGCAAAACAAGTATTTTGGTACGTAACATACTCAACTGCTCATGTTCAACTGAAAATGGAAGCTGAGGATGGATTCTGGCAGTGTTGAAACAGAACCAAGCTCAGGTGACAAAACAGAAGAGCCTTCAATCACAATGGACAAGCACCTTTAGTGCATCACACTTCCAGCCAAAGCCTTTCTACTGCCTGTTTTGATTTATACCTGTGCATCCCTGTCACTGGGGAAAAAAGTATTTCACAGAAGTTTTTATATACATATTTTACTTCTATAAATAGACACCACACCAAAATCACTGCACAGATGCCTGCCCTGGTTAAGCTGTATCTTCTAAATGGTATTATCACATAAAGGTGATTGTAGAAGTATCAGCACCCTGAATCTAAGTGGCCAAACACCAGATATTAAACACATCACAGCCTCCTTCAAGAGGGTACCGCTCATGAAGGTGCACCATGAGATGCTTCCAGCCTCAAGGATCACACATTTGATACAATGGTCTCAAGGTCCTAAGAGATCCTAAACATCCTGAAGATCCTCCAGGAGACTTTCAGAACCTGCTTCAGAATTCAGTATTTGCCCTTCTTCCTCTTAAGTACAGACAGTGCAATGGAAGCATATGACAATTATCACATGTTGCTATTTGGATAAGCAGATGTTACAGATTGTTTTCATAATAGCATATACCAGAACCTCACGGCTCAGTACAACGCCCTTTTTATCTTCCAGATATGAAAGGTCTAAACCAGAACTTTTGTCTCAGCTTGTAATAAATTTACTCATTTTTAAATTTAAGTAGCCAGTCTGTTTTACAGTGGATTTATACCACCTACTTTGACTCAGAACAGTAATGAAGGTAATTTAGCAAGGATAAGCTTGTCTGTTGTCTGTGAAACATGTTGCTAAGCACCTTAAATAAGAAACTAGAACACAGCAAAAAATTTTAATACCTCTAAAAACTATTTAAGTGCACAGTTATTTGTACTTTTTTTTTTTAACAGCTGCAATTCTTAATGCTTCCTCTTTACTGATTTTTATCTTTACTGGAGTGTTAATCTGAAGGGCTCTTTTTTCTTCAAGTAGTCAAATATCTTATGAGCCTGCATGACAGTACAGCATTAATTCATGCATACTCAAAAAGGCTGTACCATAAGAGACAATGGAGGCTGTTAAATCCAGCGTGCATAAAGACTATTACATAGGCTGCTAGAACATCCCAAACTTCTTTAAGGGTAAAGGCACATACAGGCCAGAAGGCACCTCTTCAGTCAATAACCTTACTTGTCAGAAGAAAACACTAGTCTCCCAGCTTCCCTGTAGGGAAGGATAGTTGTTGAGGAGAGTTTGATGGTTACTCTAATCTCCACACCTTGAAAGCACATCTTAATGTGCTTTTTGAGTGTGTACAAACAGGCTAAACAATACTCGTTTCTTACTCTTTGTTTTCGCCATTTTAAAAATAACATCAGAAACCAGCATTTCTCCATGTCTGGCCCTCCCCACTTTTATATCCATTCACCTGTGTCATTCCCTCTACTACACTATTGAAAAAAATCTGTAGCACGAACTAGATTAGGGTACTGCTCCCGAAGAAAAATCACTCAGCCCAGGAAAACCAACCAGTAGAGTATCTCTTGATCTATGCAAAGTTATGAAGAAGAACCTGGTGATACAATACTGATCGAAGAGCAAAAAAAGCCCTCACAGAAAACTTAGAATTAGCTTCTGATAATAAAGTGGTCTCAAACTTTGCAAAGTAACTTACAAAGCTGCTCATGTAAACACAGGCAACTAAGACCTGAACGCAGAGGAGTCCTACGCAACAGTAAAATCCAATGACAAAGCCTCTCTAAGGTGACAGGTTAGCAGGGAAACCTTTTCACGGTGGCTCTTGTATGAATCACTGAACAAGTAATACCACTTAACACTTCTGTACCTTGGCCTCAAAGGCATGGTGAGCAAGTGAGTGAGGAGATGCAAGATGGATATGAAAAAAATCATATGGGATATAAGCAAAAGGATTTTAACTTATCCTTGTGATTGGTGCCACAAAAGTTAATCTGCAGAAGCTTTCAGCATGCATGAAGAGGCAGCTAGGCAGATTTGCCCATGCCACATAGGCAATAAAAAGACAAGTGGACAACTGCAGACAGTTGAACCAGAAACTGTTATCAGTACAGGCATGAATTCAGCTATCAGGAAAAGAGCTTCATACTCCTGATGACTGCACTAAAAGGACAGAAGGAAGAAAGGGAAAGTTATCTACTAAATGTAAACATTTAGAGGGAACACTAAAAATGTATACACAGACTTAAAGATCTCCACACAGTATGCA